AGCAAGCTGGCTTGGCATGTGTAGTACATATCATGCACCCAATAGCCGGGTCAAATGATACATAAAGGACCCCTCCACATATATATATATATATGTATATATATATATATGTATATGTATATTTGCATTTCTATGTCTATGCGTATGTTTTCATTTTCCGCTGTTTCCTTTGCTCTTTTTGTCTGCAGAACGGGGGAGGTTTTGTGCTTGATCCTTGCGATCTTTCTTGCCCTTGAGGTGGGCACAGGTTTAGGGCTGAGAAGCTGAGACTGCTTGCCACCCTGCATGAAAACTGTTGGTCTGCAGCCGTTCGCGCCTGGAGTAGCATGAGACACTGCACAGTGGCTATGGCTGCGAGACCGTCGATTTCTGTTTGACATACGCCCGAGGTATCTGACCATGGGGTAGCAACTTTGGCAGAGGCAGAGGGGAAGACAGCTGCTTCACCGCTTGTGATACCATGGGAGTAGGGTGCTGCGAAGCAATAGAGGAGTGTACTTGGCTTCATACAAGCAAGCCAAGAAGGTCCACCCTCAAGCTGTTGTCAGACCCTGCGCAGGGCCTGCCAGATCTGCAGCAATTTGATCTGGGCTGCTTTGCCATCGCAGCCTCTGATGTTGGGGCAGTGGCACTTGCAGCAAAGCCCTCTGGCTTAGAAACTGTTCGTGTCAAAGTCGAAGCACGGAGATTCCATTTCGGGTCAGCGTCTCACCGATCTTAAGGCTTTAGGTCACAGAGCTCTTGGGCAGCTACAGAAAAGGATCCATTTAATTTTCTGCTTTTTCCAGTTCCGGGCATTTTGAACATTTGGAGCCCTGGTCTGTGTGAAGCATATGGAAGGATGACAAACGCTGCGAAGCCACTGTTCCCTCACCTTCGACAGAATCCCTGATGAACTTGATAGCCCGACAAAATTTTCATCCAAGGTTGCCGACGACATTGCAGAGCTTTGCACTGGACTTGCGGAGCACGAACCTTGGCATAAACATATCGCGGAGGTCGGCTTTATATCTCCGGCCGCGGCCTGAGCCCCTTCTGAAGCTAACATAAAACATTGCCAAGGTTAAGTAGCTGCATTAGTTCATGAAACAAAGCAAACCGGATTCTCTTGAGGAGCGATGGTCCAAAACCCTACACGATGAGCTATGCCCTACCCCCAACTCCAGTGGACCCGCAAGCTACTCATGGCAAAGACCCTGCAGTAGGAAGGCAGAGACGGCTTGTTCGTACAGTTGCATGCCGGAACTGTCCAGGGTCCCCTCATCACTTATCAACCCGATTGAAGGTTGAATTTCTGAAGTGGGAAATCCATACTCACACTGCGCAACTGCGCAGACACAGCCACAGGGCTATGCAGCTGCTTTTGTCCCCAGGCCCGAAGCGTACAGAAAGGCTGGCGGAAAAACCAGCATTCAGCAGAAGACCAATTCTTCCGATTATGATGGCGTGCATGGTACTTCCCTCTTATTGCCGATGATTGCTATGATTGTGACGATGATGGCGACTATGACAATGATTTCGCTGTCGATATGTTTATGTGGCGCCTGTTGTTGACGATGGCAATGATGTTACATAATATTGCTCCATTCCGAATATGAGCTACCAGATTTGTCTTGTTCTGGCGGTAGTTTGTAGTCGTGGTTAGTTCAATCAGCAGCACTAGTGGAAGTGGTTGTAGTTGTAGTAGTCGTCGTCGTCGTGCTCGTCGTCGTCGTCGTGGTCGTCGTCGTAGTCGTAGCAGTAGCAGTAGGAGTAGCAGAGGCAACAGAGCGCTATTCTTGGCCTATTCTTACCAGCATTACTCGGGACGTTTTTCCGTGCGGCAGTGTTTTCGCGTCTCACTGCCGTATGACAGAGTTCTGACTTTGTCACAGTTGTCACAGGAACGTCACCGACGTGGGCATATCCACTTTGGCAGCGAATGTGCCTGATGGGACAGATGTCAAGTGGCGTCTCGCCTTTGTTTAGCTCTCTTAAGCCGATCAAAAATCATCGCATCATGCATGGTTCGCTATCGAGTCACAAACCGTGGAGCAGCTACCAGTCGGTTTCGATCTGACCGACTTGGTAAGCGTGCAGGACAGTTCGTAGATGCTGCTCTCCCAACATGAAGGTTATGAGCTACATTGCACTGGAATTGTAGTAAGGCAATAAGGAACCCCAAAAGATACTAATTAGTAGTATAATGTGTACTACTATGAATATTATTCCCAAGCCCGTGGCGCTTGGCATGCTGCAAGGCAGTTTGCGAAAAGCGATGGTGCCGGCAACACGGAGCTGACCTGCCTGAAAGACCTTCGAGTTTGGCAGGAGTCGGCATGCACAGGGTTTAGGGTGTGCAAATCCGCGCAAACAATCACCCCGACAACATCGTTGCTGCGAAATGTACTGCACAGAACTCAACGCTAACCTTTTGCGGTCATCATGGCGGTGTGTTGTACTGGTGGTGTTGGTTTTATTTTTCGACTCATCGTCACAGTCTTGGTTGATCTGCAAAGCCGTGGTTGCGCGCGAACGAAGTTCGTGGACTGGCTGTCTGACCTCTCCTCTCTCGTGGACCCTTGTCGATGGAAAGCTCGGCGCAGGAGTCTGCCCCTCCGCCGTCTCCAACCCTGGCAGGGCCCCCTGCACGGGCACTGCGCAGCAAAGCGAAGGTGCGTAATCGGTAATGCCGATAATGTGACAAAAATGCAGAATTTGTAATACTTCATGATCTTTCATGTATAGTACATTGCAAACACTAGTATAATTCATACATCAGACATCCTTACGCGTTCAATGTGAAGGCTGATAGCAGTTTCGGTCACCAGTCTTTACCTTAACCATCGCTCACAGGTGCTTCTGACATAAAATGAGCAGCCATCTGGTGGTTGTCTGGACAACCCTTACAATCATCCCTAACCGAAACCTTAGGATCTCTAAGACCGCCCCTGCAACTGCCTATTCGGGTGTATGGCAATGTATGGCACCTAGGTCCTAGGTTGTTGTAGGTACCTAGGTTCTATTGTGGTATCGTGGTTGAGATCGTAAGATGAAGTGTCACATTTTCTTAGGGTGGCGTGTTGGGGTCTAGCATTTTTTGGAAGGTGGACTTCTGCATGTTTTCAAGTGGGAGATGAGGCTATCAGCAGTTGCTGCTGGGGGCAAAATGGACAGGCTTTGATGGACATCGGTGCGGATGTTCGGAAATGCAAAATGAGCTCTGAAAAGATTGGCAGACAACTTATGGTACTCTCGTTGAGAAAGTATTTGTTGATTGGGGGCGTGGGGGAGTGACATGGTACGCCGTAAGAAGCAGTGGTTTGCACAAATGATTGGACTATTTGGTTTTGGTGTGATGTCTGTGGGGTGATATGTGCTGTGCTGCGGTGCCGAACACGTACCCCTAAACCCCGAAACCCTAAAACGTAAACGCCAATCCCAAACCTAAGTTTTATAGGAAATCCCTCAGTGGCCCAGGGAGACTGAAAGGGGTTGGCCCATTCTCCGCCAGGCAAAGCCAAAGTCCAGCGGTGTGCGCGGACGAGACATCAACTGGTCCAAGTGAGGAAGCGACTGAGAAAGTGCGCTGGCCCACATGCCAAAGTACTGCGCAAAGGATGACTACGTGTCTTTACTACCGTTGTTCCTTGCATCCTACCGGCTGACTTCCACACAATGCTCTGCGATTGTACATATCTTGAGTGGCCTGCCGGGGTCCCTGGCCAAGCCAGTAGACATCAAAGGGCTGCCTCACCGCGGGCTTGGCCCGTGTCAAAGCACATTACTGGTACATAGCACGCGGATGCGATTATGGCTGTGCGACATTGCCGTCATCGGAGCGCTTACAGCCCCAGCAAATAAAAGCAGACCTGCAACTTCCCCTAAACCCTAAACCCTAAACCCTCTGCAGTGGAGGCTGCAGCAGGATGTTGATGTTAAAGACTCGCAATTTGAAGAATGGTAGCATCGCGCACACACACACAGACAGGACTGGCAATGTTGGTAAGCTTCATATCGTGGTGATAAGGGGACTAATGGTGAGAGAAGGTGACTGTAGTGACAGTTCCAAGTACTTAGTGCCAAGCCGTGTTGCACCCTGGAGGGTTTTTGCATGCACGCTTCAAAGCTCATCGTGAAGGGCTCACTTTTGGAGTCCTGGTTTTTGTGACGGTCCACCTGAAGGCAGCAGGTAAACCAGCTAAAACACCTCAACTTTGTCGCAACTGCTGAGGCTGAACAAGTAAGACACGTTCCTCACTCCTCCTGTCCGGCAGGCTGTTTGCATAGTGGTGAGCTTGACACCAAAGCCTGAAGCCACAGTTACGGACCTCAAACCCGCAACCCCCGGGCTCTTTCCACTTTGCCACGCGGTCCAGGTGCCGAGCATCGTGACGGAGGGCCTCAGGCCAGTTTGTTTGAGCGCGGGTGGAGGCTTTCGATTGTCTAGAGTCTAGAGTAGAACAAGTTAACTACTTGAACCACCAGATTTTAGATTACTTTGTCCGAGGCGTCGTGTTCCACCCCCGACGGGCCTTGAAACGTAAACCACAGCAACAGCACCTTTCCCACGAAACAAGTTACGTCGGGAGTCAAGACGAGTCGACAGTATAACTGAACTTTGCTTATCCATTGCTAGCAATATGCTCGCAGTTAATACAGTCATATAGGAGTCTGAATAGTTTGTAGGAGTATGCCCTTATGGCTCCCATATAGTTATGTTATGCTATCCCATGCTATGCCCCAAAAACCGTTTTCGAATTATGAAAGCCCTATGTATATTATCGCTAGATAATTGTCCCGTTTCGCGCAGGTCTTGGGGCCAACTCAAGAGCAGCATTCTCCCGATGGACCCAATGCGCGGCCGACGCGGAATTTCAAGGGGTTTAGGGTTTAGGGTTTAGGGTTTGGTTTTTAGGGTTTGTAGTAGGGCGTCTAGGGCTAAGGGCGTGCAGGGCATCACAGAAACTCGGAACAATTGGATTACAATAATGATGAGAGTCCCGATATGTATACCTTCAAGGCAGGAGATAATGATGTCCAGCTTTCTGGCTTCGAAAACAGGGCGCCGCGAACCTTTGGGGTTTCATGTGTTGGATCTTTAGGCTTGGGGGCTCCGTGAGGTACGTCACAAGAAGCTCCTTGATTAAGTCGAATCTACGGCATCCGGAGTCCCACCGAAACCCAGAAGATACTACATGCTTGGCATACTGCAAGATGCACTGCACTATTTTGCCCTTCCATCGCAACGCTGAACAGGAGCCCACGGTGGGACATCGTGTGGGTTTGAGTTTGGAGGTCGAGGCATTGTGTGTCAACAGCAGCTTCCTGCAAGCAGCAATTTCGATCTCGTCGCAGCATAGAGGTCGAAGGGGCGAACTGATGTTCTATGCTCTTCAAAAGACACACACGCACACACAATCTCGACAACAAGCTTTGCAAGGCATGATCCTCAAGCTTCAAACTACCGTTCATCTCTGAGAAAACGTCGAGGTGCATGAGGAGTGGTGGTCGTGGGCTGTAGCAGTTGCGGTTGTGATGAGGATGACGGTGATGGTGAAGACGGCTGTTGTTGTTGCGGTTGGTATTTTGACTTTCGGCCTACACTGTCAGATATCGCCGGTACTAGTTCTTTTCTCCAGTATCAGCACTGTCATGGACTGTTTGTGTTCCTTCCTCTAAGACCCGTGACCGCTCAAGGTCTGAACTCGAAAATTCATCGCCCATGCGGCCTCACATTTTTCAATGCAGGAGCCTCAACAATCAGCCAGACAGTTCCTTGAGGCTCTCCTCCCTTTCATGGACCTGCACGGAGTGATTTAGACCTCTTTGGGTCGGAATCGCCGCGAGGCGGCAGTTGTTCAACGAGCCACTGCGTCGCCAGGCTCTTCTTCTCTCTGACGGCGCCATTCCTGCGGCCTCCTGGGGGGGAGGTGCCCAGAGACCCAAGCCCAGCAGAGGATTTGGGATTGCAACATACCAGTGGTTGATAGATAATGATCCCCTGACGCCTCATTGTTTACAAGGGCTGTCGCCAGTTTCGATCCTTGTGTGCTTGTGGATTTTTACGGCAAGCCTCAAGAACAACAGCAACAACAACAACAACAACGACAGCACCCATCACCTCTAACGTCTGGTCTGGAGCGGTGGCGCTAACCCTACATCCTGCATCCACAATGCCCCGTACTTCTGAAGCCGTCTAAGCTTCGAAAGCACTATCCTACATTTCCAGCGGCTCGGGATCCACCATAATAAACATTGATTGGGTCTCGAGCCTAAGTTTCGTCCTACTGCAGTGGCTGTGGCAGAGAGTTACATGGGCAGAATTTCGATCCGCAGCGGCCCGGCCCACTTCTGTCACAAGTGGCTTCAGTTCAGTGCCCTGAACCCTGACTGAACCCTAAAACCCTAAATCCGAATGCGCCCGATGGGCTGTTTGTTTTTTGGGGGTGTAGGTCGCTCGACCCGGTCAGGTGCATGCAGCATCAGCGCCCCGAACTCAGAGTTTCATAAGTAAGCATGTTATGGGTTCTGCAAGGGTTCTACAAGTGCTCCAAGTTTGTTTTATGCTGAAGGGTTGAGCAGGTTTTTGTATGGTCTTATGGGTCTATAAGGACTTGACAGGGGCTTTGTGTGGCATGGTTCTACATGAAAAGTTTTAAGGTTTCATGGCTCGACAGGGTTTTGCCAAGGTCAGGACAATGGAAGCCAAGTAGCAGGTCACTCTCGTTTGTATGCACGACTAGGTCCTGGATGAAGCGCTCTCTGTATCCATCGCACCATGGTGCCAAACTTGGTTTCGGAGCTTAGCCACACTTACCTGCTAGAAGTCCGGGTGGCTGCTCTGTGACCCTTCTAGGCCCATCAGTCTTCCACCTCCCAAATCCGGGGTCAGTTGCAAAGGACCGGCAAGACCTGCTTGGAGACCTGCCTCAACTACGGCCTCACTTGCCTGGACCAGGCCCCTCGGTTCACGAGTTTCAGAGAACGAGGGACTGTAGTATAGACGCTGAATCAACGGAACAGGGCAGTAGGATAACGTGAAAGTATACCTAAACCCTAAACCCTAAACCCTAAACCCTGCGATGATCTGCTCTCTGACTTTTATTGGTGCTGATACTTCGGCTTCCCTTGTGCAGCCTGGCAGCTGGCATTAATTGCCACGGTTACGCCACGCCTGCCTGCTACTTTCTAGCTGGTTTTGGTAACGGTCCTGAACCAACTTCCAGGTCGCAATGTCAAGGTTTTGCTTTTGAAACAAGCTGTGGTGATGCGTGATGCTCTTCTGGGATAGTTGCTGCAAGAAGTTTTGGGCACAAGCTCTCAACCGTAAAGTGCCATAGTTGCATTGCGAACCACCAGGCCCCCCGGCTTTCATAATTGCAGTCAGCTGCAATCTGAAAACCAACAGCCATCAATCGCGGAACCCACATCATTCCTCCGGAAAACCGGAAACAGTATATATATATATATATATATGTATATATATATATATATATATATATATATTTATCGATAATATAGCTCTTCCAAATTCCCGAGCTCTAACCTGTGAAGTCCATTCCCCCACGCCCCGAAGTTGCCGCCAATCCCTAAGTCCTAATGCCTAAACCTAAAGCCCTAAAGTAGTTCCTCTTTGAGGTTCATATATAGAATCCTATAAGGTAACCCCAAAAAGGAACTACTATGGGGCCTATGGGTAAGCCTAAAGCTTTAGCATCGTTTTCATCACCAGTCTCTCGCCCCCAAGCTGAAAAGTCGAATTCAAGCCTCGCAACCGGAGGCCCCTTTTTGGGGACTTGGGCCCGCTTCGGAGGGTTTAGGGTTTAGGGTTTAGGGTTTAGGGTTTAGGGGTTGTAGAGTCAGCGTTGAAGGTTCCAGGACACTAACACGGAACAAACGGAAACAGTTCCCCTATTGCTCGGGGGTTGCTTGCGGAACCAACTTTAGCGACTTTTGGCCCCGGAGCTTGGGAGGATCTTCTCTTCATCAACCACTGTGCTGCCCTGGCTACTATCTTCAAGTGCAGGGCCTGCGAGCCAGGCGCTTTCGGACGAGGGAGGGCGGAAAAGTTCGCTGTCTAGGTCGAATGTGTATATTCGCTACTTCTGGCTCTTGGCTTCGGGGGTCCAGTGTCCACAATGCCTGCACGACTGCCAGAATCATTGAGGGTCGCGGTCGCTGTATTACTGGTTCAAGCACATGAGTTGCCATGGAGGGTCGGAGGGCCGCATGGTGACTGGGCCATTTATGCTAATTCCCAATCCTCAAACCCAAACCCAAAGAGCTTGACTCTGGATCCTCAAGCCACAGCTTTGAAGCTGGACCCCCTGAACCTTAAACCCCAGCCCTAAACCCACAGAACCTCACATCCGGACATATCCGGACCACGTCCTAAAAGCCCCAAGCCTAGGTCTGGAACCACAGTCAGGTCGCAGGGGACCAGCGAAGCGAAGCGGAACTCCAACCACCATCGCCTTCGTTCGCACACCTCCAGGTACCTACTATATAGGGGTCTAGGGGCTCTAGTACCCTATATAGTAGGTACCTGGGGCCCATTGGGGGGGTTAGGGATAGTCTAGAAGTACAAAAAAACGGAAAACGGCAACTTGACGTCCGACCCCTGACCCTCTCCTGTGGCAGGCCTGGACAACGCAGGAGTTGATCAGTCTGGGGTATGCCAGTACCTTAGAGCCCTCTTTGTGCAAAGCCTGTTCTTACGAGTTTCGCCGAAGGCGGCAACACAGCTTGCCTTGAGGAACACCATGACTTCGTGCAGATCTAGCTCAGAACTACCAGGAACCCGACCTGGAGATTCGAAACATGACACCTGAAGACCTAAAACCATTCTAGGACCCTGCCCGTTATATCGGTTAAGGACCCGATCCTGGGAAGAGAAGACCCTAAACTCTAAGAGTGTTTTCAAGCGCCACCGAGGCCTCTTCAAAGTGTCGGCGTCGGACCTGCCGGGGCAGCCAGAAGATTTCTAGATAAACCCTTTAAATCTGCACCCTGAAGCCCTATATGCCCGAATCTCTTCCAGTACATGGTTGTTCGGAGGGTTGTGCATTCAGGGTTTCTGCTTTGAGGCTTGAGGTCTTCATGTTTCTCATCCTTTCAGGCCTTTGGATGTCCGCTTCGCAGTTTCTGTGAGTTGAGGTTTGACGGTTTTGGGAGTTGGCAGGATTTGCTGTCGATGTTTGCTTCGAAATAATACGCCAATCTCGGAGCAAGCATTGAAAAGATGGTTTTTGCGACGGCCGGAAAGCCGCCAGCAACCGCAACAAAGTGTGTCACAGAGGAGATTTCTTCGCTTGATGTCATGCCACGGCGATCCTTGGGCTGAAACCTCGTGTAACTAGATATCAGTAGTTTTAACGGGTTGTCGTACAGGGAAGCCGAGTTTCGCCTCCTGCATGTGACATGTCACAATTGCTACGCCCATCGTCTATGCACTTGCGTGCATCTGCTTGGCTCACTAGGGGTGGTGGTGGAGAGATGTGCCAACATGGTTCCATCCAGCAAGCAACGTAGACACATTGGCCTGCAAGCCAGACAGCACCATTTAACCTGCAACTTCTGAAGGATCTCTAGCCGCTCTAGCCAGTTTACCGCAATGCTTTGAAGCAACAGGTATTCAGTGCGCAAACACCTTGAACGAATCAAGACGAGCCAGCGACCCTGGATCTTGTGCGCCGAAGCTCAGCAGCTTCGAGTGCCAAGTCACTCCGGCCGTTTGAGAGAAGCCAGCTTCGCACTCCATCAGTTCACGATCGCACTCGGATGTAGACATGTGACACGGAGGCAGAGATTTCATGCCATGCAGTAGCAGTAATGCTAGCAACAAGACAAAGGCACAGAAGATGAAATCATGTACATTGCGCATCCTTGTGAGACTGGTTAAGCTATCAGCAGTGACGTATTTTTTGAGGGTAGTCGTGATCGTCTTTCGTCGTTCTAGAAAGCAGGAGCAGCAGTAGCAGTAGCAGTATCAGTTGTCAGTAGGAGCAGCAGTAGTAGTAGTAGTAGCAGCAGCAGGAGGAGTAGTAGTAGGAGTAGGAGTAGGAGCACAAGAATGAGAAGCAGTGGTAGGAGTGGCAGCAGTCGCAGCAGCTCACGGGATGAGATATGTCTTCATGTGCATATGTGTGCTGCTTCAAGTTGATACACAAGATACTCGAGGGCTGACCCGACTGCAAACCTACGACGCAAACCTTGCTCAGGTTTGGGGCGTCTTTCTATCCGCCGCAGCTTTATCTCAGATCTTCGGTTGTTTCCGTCCGAGCGCGAGCGCCAATGTTGCGCCAGCTGCCATGGGCGCTGAGCTGGTTGGCTGCTTCTGAGGCTGCCGCTGCAGTGACCCTTGCCAGAGTTCAGAGATGTGAGATGCATACTTCCTGTGGTTCTGGGTTATGTTATGATCATCCAGTACTTCTGATTTAACGCGAAAGCCCTTCGACCCACAGACCCAAACCCCCGAAAGGTAACCCCCAACCCGGGTCTCCGCATCAAGAGGGACAGGTTGCTGGGTGTAAAGGTTCGAGGTTCAAGGTTGAAGGTTCACAGGTGCATCCAAGTCCCCAACCAACAACTGCCAAATCATCGGTCTGTCACCATTAGAAAGAGATAGAGAGAGGCAGAGACAGAGAGAGATAGATCAACACCTTCACCTTAGCAGTCCGACCGACCAGAATCCTAAGTCCTGCGACCCTAAAGTTTGAAAATGCCAAGATGTCTAGGCCACTATAATAAGCCCCAAGCCTCTTCATTGAGGCCTCTGACCGCCGTCGTGGACCCGAGCATTGTTTCTTCGTTGGAATTGCGATTGCCAGCGTCCGAGTGGAGGCAGAGCTGTGAAGTGAGAGCTTTCGCTCTAGGCTCTTGGGTTTTGGAGTCATCGTCAGTAGTCTTCCAACTAAGCACAGAACTCAGAACACTCGGATGTCACAGGCAAAACATGGATACTAGGATAGGCTATAGAACACGCGCACACACACACTCTCTCTCTCGCTCTCTCTGAATTGTGCTGCATACAGGTATGCATGCATTCGTTCATGCATATGTACATACGTAGGAACGAACGTACGGACCTACACACATACATGCATGCATACGACATACGTGCATAAACTAGTACATACATGCATCCAGACATGTATGCATGCTCACATGCCTACCTCTCCATTTTGCAGACATGCATGCTTGCGTGATGGCATAGATGCTTGTATACACTGGCAGCGTGTTTACCCATAGATCAAACTTGTATGCGCGGAAGTTCGATGAACATCTAGTATGGATATGCGTTTACATCCCTAGGATCGCTTCTTCCACAAGTCGCATGTAGGAGGATTCTGGTTTCGCGACCATTTTCGGAAGCTCGCCCTGACTTCGACCTCTCGGCCGTATCTAGAAAAGCCACCACCACCAAGGCAAACGGCCGAAGTTGTCCGCATACCGAGCAGTAGCCGATGAAGAGTTGTCTATTTTGCGTCGTCGGTCCTGTACCACCGCCTGTGACTTGTCCTTTGCATGCAGGCTCATCCCACTCGATACGGCCACAGAAGAGGAGTTGGAATCGGCAGAGGCTCAGCTTTGCAGCAGTCGGGCTCGCAGTTCTCCTCGCATTGTGGTTGGTGGCATCCCTGGAGAAGGTAAACGAAGACAGTAGTTAGTAGCTCCCACACCTTCACACTGAACCCTGAACCCGAAGCCCCGAAATACGAAACAAGTTGGAAAGCATGCCAGATCATGGATGACAGGACTGTGTAGTAGATGGAATTCAGCGTGTACGGTTTGGGGTTCAGTCGCGGGATGTAGGATGGTTTCGGGTCTAAGGTCTGGCAGTGCTCCTCTTCAGCTAGCAGAAGCGTTTGAATCGTCATGTTGTGGAGTGCTACATGCTATTGCAGTTCCGACATGACAGGTTCAGTATTGTCACAACCCAGAACTCTTACACGCTTCTGGGGCGGTCCAGGTTCAAACATCAACAGAAGTTCTAACATGTTTTCCGAGTTTGTTTCCTGCAGTTATTTTGCATGTTACTAGGCCCGCATAAACCATTTCCGAGGTGTTTCGGTTTAGGGTAGCGCTGTATGCTGCAGGTGCTGTGCCCGCCCTTCTCGTTGGCCAGGCACCTCCACGGGTCAACTGCCATCAGAAATCAGATCAGGATACGACGAAGGAAGACGAATGAAACATCGTCACCTTAATGCTCCCTATGGACTCTACATCCGTTGTTCTTGGGTAACCGAGCATGCTGTGTTAACATAGGGTGATGTCGGATGTGTATTCACCTGGTAGAGATCATATCCCGGTCAGGGCTTGTCAGGCAACGGCTTCACAGATGTGTTCAGCATGTTTGAGATCATAGTTGTCAGTTAAGACTGTCAAGAAAACGCCGCTCTGAGGACAAAGCGGGAGTGTATATACATATATATATATAT